AGAGAGAGAGAGAGAGAGAGAGAGAGAGAGAGAGAAGGGGGGTTGCCACCTTACCTGTGGTTGTCCCCTCTAAACTTCCAACGACAGGATGAGCAAAATCGAATGAACACCAGAACGTGGAAATATACACTACCACACTTTGTCCCCTCCCCCTCTTTGTAGTTGCCTCAAGCGCCGTTGCTGGAGCAACAGGCGCCAACTCAGAGGCTGAAACTGAACAACCTCGTTGGGCCAAAGGCAGGACAACAGCCTTTTCAGGCTGTGTGGGAGCAAGACCAGCTCCCCACCCAGAAAGCCACGAATATTCATGACTGCGAGATCCAGGATCTCGCGGCTCACGACGTGCAGGTGGGAATGGGGTTGTGAGAGCTGGCTGGAGAAAGGAAGGGAGGAGGGAAACGGGAGACTAGGAGAGGGAGGACCTACCTCTCCCAACCTGACAACTGTCCTCCCCGTTTTCAGGGGAGGGCAGAGGTGGAAGGGAAAAAGAAAAAGGCCATGGCCACGAATGTGGCCGCGACTATGATCAGATACAGGCCAAACTGACATGAATGTGACTAAGGCCGGAGGCAGGGGAGATGAAGAGGTGGTGAGGGCATTGAGGGGAACTTGGCTGGAAACAACCATTTTCCGGAAAAGGGAGAAAAAATAGGGGGGCAGTTGAGTACAACTGCCACCCTAAGTGTGTGGTTGAGGTGAGACAACCTCAGTCCGTTGATCTGGCTTAAATCAACGGCCCCAGGCAAGTGAAGAATTTTGCCTGGGGGCAGCTGAGGCTGCTGCTGCCCTCCTCAACCACTACAAAAGAGGCAGCTGTCCCCCAACTGCCTCACACTTGCCTCCAGCTGCTAGTGTGTAACAACACACTTGCCTCATTGCTGGAGTGCTGGAGAGGAGGCAGGAGTGCTGGCGGCGGAGCTGGAGGACTGCAAAGGAGCGCCGGACAAGGAGGAGGGCAGCCATAGCCAAGGCAGGGAGCACTCTGGTCCCCTCCCCTCTGGCTGGTGCTTGTCCCACGGGATGGACCCAGGGACGCTGCAGGGCTACGGCAGTGCGGCAAAGTGAAATTTGGGCCTGGGGCCCAAATTTTACTAATTTTGGCCTGCCATTTTTCCACTGCGGTGGGGAAGTGCTGCCAAAATTTTACAGCGGGAGGACGGCGGCGCCACAGGTTATACGGCAGTGGTACAGAAGTGCTGCCAAACTTTTGCGGTGGCGACGCGGGTTTTACGGTGGTGGTACGGAAGTGCTGCCGAAATTCTGCGGCGGCGACGCGGGTTTTATGATGGTGGGACGAAAGTGCTGCCAAAATTTTGTGGCGACGACGCGGGTTTTACGGAGGTGGTAAGGAAGTGTTGTCTAATTTTTGCGGCGGCGATGCAGGTTTCTACGGCGGTGGTACGAAAACGCTGCCGAATTTCTGCGACGTCGACGCGGGTTTTACGGCGGTGGTGCGGAAGCGCAATCGAATTTCTGCGGCGGCGACACTAAGTTTGACGGTGGTGGTGCGGAAGCGCTGTCGGATTTCTGCGGCGGCGACACTAAGTTTGACGGTGGTGGTGCGGAAGCGCTGTCGGATTTCTGCGGCGGCGGCACTAAGTTTGACGTTGGTGGTGCGGAAGCGCTGTCGGATTTCTGCTGCGGCGGCACTAAGTTTGGCGGTGGTGGTGTGGAAGCGCTGTCGGATTTCTGCGGCGGCGACACTAAGTTTGACGGTGGTGGTGCGAAAGCACTGTCGAATTTTTGTGGCGCCGACACGAAGTTTGACGGTGGTAGTGCGGAAGCGCTGTCGAATTTCTGCGGCGGTGACACTAAGTTTGACAGCGGTGGTGTGGAAGGGCTGTCGAATTTTTGCGGCGGCGGCACTAAGTTTGACGGCGGTGATGTGGGAGCGCTGCCGAATTTCTACGGCGGCGACACTAAGTTTGACGGTGGTGGTGCGGAAGCGCTGTCGAATTTCTGCGGCGGCGGCACTAAGTTTGACGGCGGTGGAGCGGGAGCGCTGCCGAATTTTTGCGGCAGGGGCACTGAGTTTGACGGCAGTAGTGCTGAAGTGCTGCCGAAATTTTTCACAACAACAATACAAGATTTACAGCGGTGTCGGCGGTACTTTTTTTGCGTTGAGCAATAACTGGGCATTGGCGGAGTGAAGGTGTCACTGGAATGATGTATTTTGAGGTAGCGTGGACTTGACGGCGCAGTAACGCGGTGACGGCGAAAGCAATTGGCAGCGACGTTTACTTAAAAATAAGTGAGGGGGTGCTGTGGCAGGTGGTCACAACAAGAGAGTGATGTAGATCACTTTGCTGACGACTGGGGACGACTACCTTCACGTCTTAAGGGGCGTAATTCTATACGGTCTTCTTGAGTGTGGCGTACAACTTCACTCAAGGTTAGTGGTCAGTCAGTTGACCGACTTAGATCCCTTCGCACACCTGTGTGAACCCACACAGTGCTTGACCCTGTTTGTTTTGACTGTACGAAAGAAAAGGTTGAGTAAAGTGTGTGTGGTCATGCTTGTGAAAGAGTGGGATCTGATGGGAGGATGGATTGCTGGATTTTTTGGACCTGTGAATGTTTTTGAGTGTGCAGGTAGGTAGAAGAACGCTTGCAAAGGAGGTTGATTGTGTCTACATGGGCTGATGCAAAAGATTGTTTTTTTTCTACCTTTTACATGCCTGACTGTTAAAAAGACTTGTTGTTTTGAAAAAGATTATTCAGCGTGTGTCGTAGAATGAACACGATTGAAATAAAATAGATGAGGTCAAATGGACTTAGTCTTTTCTCATGGTTGACCCTTTTTATCCCGAACGACCTTATCTACCTTCACCTGTCCAAATGATCCTCATTCTCCATCACCTCTAACATTTTTCGTTTAAATTACCTTAGGTAGGGGAGGATGAGAACAACTGAAAATTTACTTGCGGTGGACGTTTTTCTCTCTTTCAAGGAAGCATCTGGGGCGGGGGTTTGTTGTTTAAGGAGCCGACCCTGTCATCGACCCAGAGTGCACCGTTCTACGGAGGGGTACTTTGCCGATTCGATGGAGAAGGTCCGACTTCTAAGATCCGAGTCTTGCGCTTGGGCGAGGAGGAGGAGTACCCCAGACCACTTCCTAGAGGGAGAGGATGTAACATCTCAAGCAATGCTTCTGATCAAGAATCATTCGCAAAACATCCCATCATCCAAAAAGATTGAGAAAAGTATGGAGACGGGTGTGTGAGTGTTCAATCTTAGGTCGGCGGTAGGACGAAATGAATAACTTTGGCAGCGCATCTCATCAAGTCAAAACTAAGACAGACCGACTACCTTGTCGGCTGCATATATGTTATTGTTTAAAGTCAACTCCTTGTTGACGACTGTATGATTTTTGTGGAGTTCGACCCGGGGCGGTTGAGTGTTATTTTGATCTTGTGTTATTTTGATATTGTATTATAGGATGTATCTAATGATGATTTATATTTGTTCGGTTATCATTTCAGATTGAATATATGTTTATGTTGACTACAGTCGATTCTATTTTATGTAACTATGTGTGGTTGTTATGTCTTTCTTTTAAAGTGGTGACCAAAGGGACTAGGATATTGGGGTTTCACACTTGGTTGAGACCGTCCTAGTCGATCGGCGTACGTTTTGTTTCTTAGGAGATCAGCGCCCTAAGGAATGGATGATGTGCGGGTTCAATAGGAGTTTTAATCGCGCGTACCTATACTACAGCGAGCGAGCAAACGCCCTCGGCTGACCCACCTCTGCAACTGTATGTAAAAGCTTTCGCACGTGGGTCGGTAACTCGGTAGGGATACGGCCCTAAGGGTGGTGACAGCCCCTTAGTGAAACAAGCTTATGCCGCGCGGGAACCTGTCCTATCGTAGGGGACCGCGGGATGTATAGCTGGCGCACCCGGCTAGAGCGGCGAAGGGACGACGCGACCGTGACCGTTTCGGCGGTCCGCGGGATTAATTATGCGTCCTCCCCAAGTTGTCTCTATGGTTTCTATTTAAACTCATGTGTGACATGGCCGGGAGGGCCCTCGCTCACGTGGGGGCCGATGCGCTCGACACCGTGACCTTAGGAAGAGATAGCACCTTCATGATGGTGGAATGTCAGTGGAAGGGAATGAGATTCAACTGAGGGCCTGGGGATGATTTGTTCTCCGATTTAAAAGTTACCGGGACTTTATATCTACCCGAGATCGGCTAACACTCACTCGGGGTAAGGATAGCACAAGGCCACGAGTTGGCCCCAGTTTTTCGAAGGGTCGCTCGGGTGTTGACGCGGATAGGCCAATCGATCAGGGGTAGGAGGAACGTGGGCTTGCTCACCAGGGTGGAAATGGGGGACTGGAGGGAGTTCAGGGCACCAACAACCCCGCTGAGATGATGGGTCCCCCGATTCATGATAGACCTCATCTTCGGGAGCCTCGCAAGGGCGCAGGATCTGGCAAACTCAACAATAATCTGGGTAGACTATTTCCCCTCTCAAACCATCGGGATGTTCAATGACGTTGTTGTGGAGCATGGGCCGTTTTGGGGAAACGAGGCCCATGAATTGCTGGAAGTTATTAATATCTTGATGTTTGGGTTGCCACGGCTAGCCTAGGAGGAATACGAACATATAATTCGGAGGGAAATCGAGATAGGGGAAAGTTATCTAGCAGGGGTGGCTCAACTATTCGAGAAGCCTACCGAACTGGAAGAGCCGCGAGGACGAGAGCGGGACTAGCACCCGGAGACAAGCCGATAGGGCAAATCAAGTATATTAGGTTACGTACGGGGGCTCGCCGATGAGAATAAGGAAGGACCTACGGACCCAAACGGTCAAAAACCCGTTACAAGATAAGGGGAAGGGTAGGCTTGTAATAATTACGTGACCCTAGAGGTTGAAGAGGGGATACTGCTCGGGAACCTTTCCTAACGGGATGCCCGACCAGAACCCCTACGCGCCAGCGCGGCAAAATTGGGGCACCCTAAACGAGTCTGTCAAAAGGGGAACTAAGCTATGCTCCTTAGCTCGAAAAGGCAGCAGGGTCGCCCGCTGCTCCTTCTTAAGGAAGCAATCAAAGGACGAAAATGGGGAGGGGGCTACTTTTTGGAATAAGGTAAAACAAGGGAAGAGACTAGAACGTATGAAATTTAAAATGCCTCGAGCTGCCTGTGTCTTGGGGAATCCTCTAGTTTATGCAAAGCTAGGCAAAATGGCGACGGAGGATGGAACAGATAATCGTAGGAGCGAGAGAGGACCAGGCTTAGGAGGCAGTGCAGTACAAAACGAAGGAGGTCAGAAGGACAGAGAATCGATAAATCCGGATGGTACCAAAGGGAACCGGAAGGAAATCTCCTCGGGGGAGAGCTCGGGTAAAGCCGGGGAAGGCAAGCAAGGAACCCAGGAGACCAAGGAGGGTAGAAATAAGGACAGGATAAGCCTCCAGAATTCGGAGGGAGCTGTGTCTAAGAAAGTGGGAGTCACGGATGCAAGACACAAATTAGCGGAAATAGAGAAGAGTACCGCAGAGTACAAGGCAAGATTGATTGAGGAAATGATGACGGGGAACGAGGAAGACCCCTTGCGGGAAGAATCGCAGGACGAACGAAAAGTCGGCCGAGGCGGAAATGGGCAAGAGGGAAAGTATAGTGACGACAGAGGGACACCGAGCAAGAGGAAGAAGGAGAGAGGGAATTCCCCAGGGATGGAAGCAGAAGAAACTACGAATCCACCAGCCATAGATAGTAGGCCTAGCCGCCTACCGGCCACGCCAGCAGCAATGCGAGGGTGATGAGAAAGTACCTGGCAACAGAGAAAATGGCAACAGAGGCCGATTTAGCGGCGGTTCAAAAGAATAATTTTGCAACGTACAATGACTTTTTGCGAAAGTTTACCCTGGTAGCACTAAGGATCCCCAGGGTTACAGACCGAATAATGAGCAAATACTTCCTCAGGCAGTTCTCTGAGTTCGACAAGGACAATATTTTGTCGGCTTACCAACAGACGAGCAAATTCGTAAACACCAGGGATGTTGATTTTAGTACGGTAACGGATCCAGCCGAGAAGACGGTAGTGACCGAGACATTGGTCTTGCTTAAGGAAGGGGAGGTCATAGATCTGACCGGTAGAACAGGCGACAAGGTAAAAAAAGGGATCGAAAGTCTACATGAACACGTGCACGGAGTTGACAGTAAGATTGAAAGGGTGAAGAACACGCTGATGGTTATGCAGGCGCAAGTATCCCAACCCGCCCTCCCTCCCCAAGAAGTCGTAGTTCCGGCAGGAGTAGCCAACCGAGGATTCGGTCGGAGAGATCCCGCTAATGAGCAATGCAAGTACTGCACCGCGGTGGGACATTTTGTGCGCGCATATCCGAAGCTCAATCATGATATATTAAAAAGGAGATGTACCAAATCATTACAGGGGGAGATATTCGGACCACAGGGAAAACGGGTGAATTGGAACTCGCCAGGGGGAATGCGACGCGCGATTATCATGCTGAATGGGTTAGAGATAGCGACATCGGAAGCTGAGCCGGTGATCGATATCGTCTGGAACCAACTCCGGAGCCGCGGGCCGCAGGTCAACATCATTTTGGAAAGCGACGGAAGCGACAGGGTGAACACGACTATTCGACTAGGGACGGCTGGGAGAAAGATTATCCGTGACACTGTGATGAAGGAGGTTGCTAGAGGCTCCGCGCCCCAGGCAGACCCCGAGGCCGGGGAACCAGAGAAAGTTTATGGGAAGCCTAGGAAAAAGGAGCCTACCGACAAGGTCACTGCTGCTAAGAAGAAGTTTAGGTATCAAATCCCGATCTTAACCATGCCTGAGATCGATGACACCCTTAGCAAATTACTAGGAGCCACGGTGTCGGTATCGTTTCAGACCATGTTGCAGGCCAGCCCTAGGCTGCTCAAAGGGCTTAGACAACTGTGGATTCGATGGCGGGTAGAGATAGACGAGAACCCCGAATCACCGGAAGAGGAAAGGGAAAAGGAAGCTCCGCAAGAAGTTACTAACCTTCAAAGGAGTCACGAGGATTTTGAAGAACTCGATAAGGCCTTTGCGGACATCCGCCTGAGCTTGCCAAACCGAGAAGGCGGCGAGGTCAAGAGGGCACCTCCCGGAACAAAGCTTAGCTTCCATGCACTGCCCGTGGGAAAGTTGAAAATCCAGATTGGGACTCATCATACTGACGCATTAGTAGACGGAGGAGCGGAAATCACTCTCATAAGAAGAGACTTCGCAACAATCACGGGCTGTACGGTAAATAAGGAAGTAACAGGGAGTATCCGGGGAGCTGGTGGGGAAATTCCGTTCGCTGGGTATGTCACGAAATGTGTGGTCAAAGCAGGAGTCCGGGAGTCGATCTGGTCGTTTCAGCGGATGACCGTAATGGAGAAGATGGACTACGACATAATCCTCGGGAGGCCATGGTGCGCCAACGTAGAAATGATAGGCATGCACTTGCACGATGGCACATACATGGTAGATATAGAGGACCCCGTGACCGGCCGGAGGGAGCTTCTCCGACTCCTCGGGACGGGAGGAAACCCTCCGAAGGGGAAGTTAGCAACATGGTCGCCGACATTCGAAGACGGCGCACATAAGGGAGCTTTTGCGCGAATGGAAGGTATGAGAGAAAGGGTAGAGATTATGATAGAGGAGGCATTCAATAAGAAAGAATGGATCAAGATGGGTCTGCCCCAGAAGAAGAGAAGGCAAGAGGACAAAGTCTTAGGTGTTGTGGTGGCAGAAAGGGAATCAGAAGTCGAACTCGGAGCCAGCCTTTCTAGACGGAAAGAGGTGCGGAAAGAGGTACCGGAAATCGCGCTCGAAATCCCCGACGTATTGCAACTCATCAAAGCCATCAGGTATCACAAAGTAGGGGTGGATCCGACGACACTAGCCAAGTTTGAAGGAGAAGTGCAGAAGGGGTATTGTCTGAATGGGAAAATAGTCAGTATTCAACCACAGGTCAAGGAGGCAACTAGAGTAATCCCCACCATTCGTTGTTTAGGAGAAAGATCCCAGAAGGAAGTGCTCGAAGTACAGACCAGTAGGGAAGAAAGCGAAGCCAGTCTCTATCCTACTAGAGACATCTAAGGAAGAAGCTATGGAAAAGGAGGAGGAGGTTCTCCGAGTGATCCGAGAGAGGCGAGCAACGGAAGGACATCGGATACCAGATGAGGTAGCTGATACAATGAAGATAGGAATAGAGAGATTCTTAACGGAAGAAGAAACTCTCCTGACCAAGAGGACGTGCCATGAGTTTCATCTGACATTTGTCTTTAGTGATCACCAAAAGGAGCGGTTAGACGCAAAACTAATTCCCCCGGTCAGAATCCACACGGTAGAGCATGAGTGCTGGAATGATGAAGGGTCGTCCTATGAATTTGGGATAGCATGAAAAGTAATAGATCTTCTCCGAGCAAAAATGTACTCCTTCGTCGCAGAACCTACCGCGTCGCTGTACGCAAATAGGTGGTTCGTCTTTCGGAAGCCTAACAGAGCGTTGAGGTGGATTCAAGATATGCAGAAGTTGAATGTAGTAACCATTCGGAATGTTGGTTCGCTACCTCAGGTCGATTTATTAGCAGAGTCTCACGCTGGCCGGAGCATTTACTCCCTGATATATTTGTATTCAGGATACGTCCAGCTACCATTGGATGCTCGGGACAGACCGTACACCGCAATGCACACCCCCGTAGGCCAGTCGCAGATGCAGGTGACCCCTATGGGTTTTACGAACGCGGTAGCCGAAGTGCAACGGAGAATGTTCGTCGTCGCCGGAGACATGTTTCCAGAGAAGTGTGAACCCTACATCGATGACAACCCGATCAAAGGCGCCCAGGAGAAGGACGAGACGGAAGTCCAGCCGGGAATCTGAAGATTTGTATGGGACCATCTACAGGACATCAAGGGCTTACTTCACTGATTCCTAGTGTACAACATCACGGCTAGCAGACCAAAGAGTATTCTGGCAGTACCGGAAGTGACCATACTGGTTTTTCACTGTGGCGCATACGGTAGGAAGTCGGACCCGACAAAGACCGATAAGATATCGTAGTGGCCAACACCCCTGCGCACAACAACGGAGGTAAGAGCATTCCTAGGCGTGGTTGGCTTTTGGAGGATTTTCATTAAAAGCTTTGCCAAGATTGCTGAGCCTATCCGGGCCATGATTAGAGAAGAAAGAACTATGGATTGGACGGCGGAGCGAGAAGGAGTCGTCCAAACCCTCAAGGAAATACTGACGTCTGAGCAAGTCGCCCTGTCAGCACCCTGCTCTAATGACGAAGTGAGACGGCCATTCATCCTGGAGACAGACGGGGGACCCTTGGTCGTAGGACGCGTACTGATTCAAAGAGATGAGGAAGGAAAAGAGAGGCCAATTAGGTTCGAAAGTAGAACCCTGAACTCCGCAGAACGGCGGTACTCACAGTTCAAGAAGGAGGTCCTAGCCATCTTGCATTGCCTCAAGACCTTCCAAGCCTACCTATTCGGGAGGCGGTTCATCCTAAGAATCGACCCAACGAATGTCGCGGGGGCTTTAAAGAATTACAAGCCTATAGACCCGACGATGGGGAGATGGGTAAGATTCATTGGCAGTTCAATTACAAGATCGAACGGATTGCTAGACTCATAAACAAGGTCGATGGGCGGAGTCGGGTTTGTATCACGCCCGAAGGAGTGGAAGACACTGAACTCATAGATGCGTTCCTTCAATACGAAGGAGGGACACTTGCAGCGGATAATGAAATGATGGGCGAAAAATACTCGTCGGGAGAATTGTTGATCCAGACCTTGGAAAAATAGGCTCCGACCGTAGTAGCAGAGCTTAGAGAAGGACGAGTCACCACTCGAGGATGCAAGAAGGAGAAAGATTCGTGGGGAGCGATAGTAGGACGGAAGGAGGAATTGATAGAAATGGCGGTTGAGGGAGGCCGCGAAGCTGTGATGAGCCTAATGGAATCTTGGGAATGAAAAAAGTTGCAGTGGATGGTAAACCAGATGCAGGAGAGAAAGAAGAGGACCAGGAAATAAGAGAATTTTTTTATGTTCAGACATATGAAGGGATTTTTCGGGAGATCGGATTGCTGCTAGTAGAAAACAAACAACCCAAGGAAGTCGGCTTTAAGGCAAGGGAGGAGGCCGAGAGGTACGTCCTAAGGGGCGGTCATCTATTTAGGAGGGAGGAAGGCGTTATGTCCAGGAGAGTTGTATGCGGAAGGTCAAGGCAGTTGGACGTGATCCAGGCAATGCACGACGAACTAGCAGGAGGACATCGATCGTCCAAAGGAACTCTCGCAAAGATGACACCCCTCTACTATTGGCCAGACATGGCAGGTATGGTTGCTACGTACTGCCAAACCTGCCTGGTCTGTCAGGAACCGAGCTCGGCTCGCATCTTCGAGCCACTTAGACCAACACAGGTGTTGGGGTCAGGACATCTGGTCCACTTTGACATTGCGGTTATGCCTGTATCGACTGATGGATACAAATATATCCTGGAAACCTGGGACAACTTGAGTGGGTTCGTAGAAGCAGTCACCCTCAAGAAAAAGACAGGGAGGAGTGTAGCTGATTGGATAGAAGATTTATATCTAAGGCATCCCTTCATCAAGAAGTTTATAGCAAACAATGGAACAGAGTTCGTAAATCAAGAAGTGTTGGGAATGCTCAAAAGGCTTTGCGTGCCTATCAAACTCATCGAGCCGTATCACCCGGAGGCCAATGCGAATCTGGAAAGGGGGCACCGGACTTTAAAGAACACAACCTGGGGAGCTGGTCTAAGTATCTTAAGCAGGCTGTCTTCTCGGAGAACATGACACCAAAAAGGACAACGGGATGCATCCCAACGGAACTTTGGTACGAAAGAGAGATCGATTTTTCCGTGGAGGCCTTGATACCTACCTGGAACAGATTAGATGACAATCCGAGTATGACCACGGAAGAATTAATTGAGGCAAGATGTCAACAAGTCCTTAGGAACGAGGATGTCATGGAAGATATCGCCAATCGGGTACTAGACAACAGAATGAGGGACAAAGCAAGGTGGGACTAGGTTAAGAATATCCGAAAGGATCCGCTTCAGGTGGGGGGACCGGTATTGGTAAGAAAATCGACAGTAGAAAGTAATTGGTCTGAGCAACTAGGGAAGAGGTTCAAAGGCCCCTACCGAGTCGCCAAGCGGGTGGGACTGAATACCTTCGAACTGGAAGATTTGGATGGAACTGAATTGAAAGGACCCTTCCCGGGACAACGATTGGTCAGGTTTCTAAGTCGGGACCCAGTGGAAGAATGGTTTCAGGAGGCCGCCAATAAGAAAACTGAGGGGCTACAACCTAAGGACTGATGACGGTCTTGCTCACACTATGGTTTTGTCTCTGACTGCGTCTGTGGGACCGTGATTTTTTTGGGGGATGGGGCAATGGTTTGGACTGACTGAGGTTGGAAGGCGAGTGTTCTGGGACTTTGTGATAACGGGTTTTGTGTGACAATGGGGAGGGTTGACGGGAGCACTGTATCATAGTTTTTTATGGGAAAGTAATGAGATCATTACAAATGTGGCATTTGCATGAAAGGGGAATGTATAATAGTGACCTAATGCAAAGGGCATTCTGGGGGAAGAAGGATTGCCTACCGAACTGGGGAACGTGTGTATGAGGGGTTTGGCAGATGTTGATTTTGTTATACAGGACTAGGAAGAAAGCATGAGAAAAGTAAAAATGGAATTGGCAACGGGAATGATAGTAGGGCGATCAACAGGCCTACCAAAGGGGGAGGAGCGGGACCAAGTCGAGAGAGGAGGACTGCAAAGAGAACATTGTACATAGGGTACATGTCCAAACATGTAGTAGGCAGGGGAACGAGAAAACAAGTGTGTAGAGGGCCCTCGCCTCTCGGAAAGGGGGAAGGGATATATATCTCATCAGGGAGTGAGAGCGAGGAAGAGAAAGCGGATATGGCGGAAAGGGCTCAGGCCTCTGACGAGGGAGGGGCAGCGAGAGGCGAGCAGCATGAGTCTTGGCATGGGGAAAGCGAGGGGATACATGACATGTGCGGCGGACACGAAGATAAGGAAGGAAGAACGGAAAACCCGCGTGAAGAGCGGAACGGCCATGACAGTTGTGAAGGGAGATACTCGGACTTTGAAGAGGGATATGAGAGGAGGGCAGAGATCCCCTATAACTTGGATCCAAAGAACTTCACGGGTGAGTTCAGCCCCATACTGACGGAAGAGGAGGTGATGAGGAGGAGGAAGTACAAGAGGTCATAGAGATCAAGAGTGGCGATGAGAGGGATGAAATCTCAAGGCCTAGAGAAGAGAGGCGACACCCGATGCGTCAGCCGCGTGAAGAAGCCTTCAGATGGGAAGATGAGTTTGGGTCAACACCCAGTCATTGGTTTCAACAACGACTAAGTGTGATCAAGCATGAATAAATTATCAAGACTAGGGAATTCGTAGAGGCAGGGGTGGCGGCCACACCTTTGGATTTCTACAATGAGAAGGAATTGCAAAAAATTGCGAAGAAGAAGAGAGAAATCATGGTCTCTGGCCTGGGAGTTAAAAAAACAGTGGAAAGACAAGATGGGCGAGGGACTGAGCAAGATGAGACACATGACAACAATAGGGATTATATATTGTTAGCGTTGAGCAAGAATTGTGTTGTCTCATTGCAAACGTTGGAACGACAGGATGTGTATAGTATGAGTAAGCTTGACAAGAATGAGTGATGAGAGGACTAGCTAAGATTGTGTCGCGATGAGTTAGAAGATAGCATTTTGAGGCTACTTTCTGAAAGAGCTACCTTCAAAAGAGTGTATGCAAGACAATGACACGGGGCATGAGATGAGATTGGTTGGGAAGGGTGTATTGTGAACTTTGGATGGAATGAGGATTGTGCTTTTTAGAAGAAACTGTGAGTGCAGTTTTTGACAAGCAAAGCAAGACATTGAATATTGGTCGAGTACAAGAGAGGTTAGGGAGCCTATGGGTTAAGGGGCGTGAAAAACACTCCTTCCCTAGGAGCCTAATCCAACTAAGTCATGAATGAGTCTGCGAATAGCCAAGAAGTTGAGAGACTAGAAAGAGTGAAAATAGAGAGGGTGCCCCTGTCTTTTGCTATGGTTGAACGGTCGGGCGAGCTAGTGCTACTTGGGGTTATGAACCCCAATTCGAGCACTAGACGCTAAATCAGATGTTTGCATGGACAAGTAAATGATATTGAGAAATGGACAAAGGGGACCGCTCGCATAAAATTGCAAGAAATGACCACCTTCTAACCCCCGAGACAGAAATGAGATCCGTGTCCTCGAGGCCCACCCTCTCGGACACTAACATTGAGAATAGAAAGGAATGGCACTAACCAGGCTGTTCGACTTGAAAATGGAAAGGAATGACCCTAACCAGGTTGTTCGACTTGAGAATGGAAAGGAATGACCCTAACCAGGTTTTTCGACTTGATAATGGAAAGGAATGACCTTAACCAGGTTATTCGACTTGAGAATGGAAAGGAATGGCTCTAACCAGACTGTTCGAATTGAGAATGAAAAAGAATGACCTTGACCAGGTTGTTCGGAAATGGCCTCTGACAAGGGTCATTTTTTTTGAAATAGGCACTGGGGTCCCCTGCATAATTGATTGAGAAAGGTTGATTGAGAATGAGTTGGAAGGAGCAATGTGAGATGGAAAAGGCCGGTGGGTCAGTCATTGAAATAGCCATGAGGATGGTTGAAAGAGAATGACGTCTTGGAAAGAGAAGGGTTGGATAAAAAAGGTCGAGCCTTAAGTCGAGAAAGGCATAGACCGTTGGGACGATCATAAGGAATGAACAGCGGGGAATGTGAAAATTGAGGATTGAAGGTGGGCCGACGGGTCGGCCTTGGAAGATGGCTATTGAGAGAGTGGCCACCAGATCAGCCACAAGGGGTGGCCTTGTTGAAGAGAGGCTGTCGGACCAGCCATGAGAACCAGCCGTGAGAAAGAGCTGGAAACAACATTGGATTGAGTGCTTGAGGATTGAATATTGCATTGCATAGTTAGGGGACCCTAGGCGATTTGATGAAAGGTCGTCGGGCCGACCACGGAAATAGCGAGAGATTGACTTTTTCTTTCTTTCTAGTCTCAGGCCTCAACATAAGGGGGATAGCGATGCATGCACCGCAACCCCAGAACCTCTACCCGTTAAGGGAAAGTCTCAGCGTGACCAATTCCTCATAAGAAAAGATAAGGGTTGAACGACCAAGGCACCTTTCTCTTTGATTGATGCTGGCCGTCCGGAACTAACTCCGACAACGAGCTCTAGCAGGGAGTTCAAATAGCACCTCATGTTGATAACCTAAACGTCAAGGGCGTGGAGCCAAACGGGCGAGAGAATCATTTTTCTCCTAAGTCTCACTTACTCTCCCCAACCACACGCCATACCGTAGAGGGGCGGCGTGGCCGTTTGGGATGGACCAAGGTTGATCACATTAAGTTGAGCGGCACTGTCCAAAGGGAGTGGTCGGGTGTGGTACCGGGTGGAAGCCGCAACCACCACAGGGCGAGTGACACTGCCCTGCCGGATCATTACAACCGTTCCAGAACTAACCGCGAGATCTTCGTAACTGCACTCGCAAACTAATAGAGAGCCCAAACTCTCTTGAAAGAAAGAGACCGGATCCAAGAAAACACCACTCGGGAGGAACGATTCGCGAGAAAGCCTTTACGGCAAGACGGGGTTCTGGGAGGTTTGGATTGGACCTACCTGTCGGATGTGAGGTGGTACCTCAGTAATGACGCCCGTCTCGTAGCGGCAAAAGGTCGGACTAAGTAGAAGGATGAGGTGTTACCTGCCGAGAAGGACTAATCACCCTTCCTTCTAGGAGCAGGTGGGCCGTTGTTCTTGACTCAGTTGGTGGGCCAAGGTCTGCGTACCTCCAAGTGAGAATCAGTCGTGCGATGGGGACATTGCATTTTTAGTGGGGGGAAGGTGTGCCATCTACCGATGAAAAAACGTGCAAAACATAAGGTACCATGAGCTAGAGAAATATGTATGTATAATTGACTTTGCATGGGCTTGAGAAAGGTTTGACAAGATGTCCAGAAGAAAAATGTATTTATAATTGACTTTGCATGGGCTTGAGAAAGGTCTGACAAGATGTCCAGAAGAGAAATGTATGTGTAATTGACTTTCCATGGGCTTGAGAAAGGCCTAGCAAGATGTCCGGAAGAGAAAGACATGTCTAATTGACTTTGCATGGGCTTGAGAAAGGTCTGGCAAGATGTCCAGAAGAGAAA